CTCTTTTCAGCACCTACTGAAGAAACGTGTCCCTAAAGAAAGGCGTCCCTAACATGCATGGTGAGAAAGATCAGAACTTAGGGCACACCTTGCCGAGTTTAAAAGTGTCAAGTAATACGACTTAATAAAAGCTCATTTTCTATTTCCAGGTCTTGTTCCTGCCCTGTGGACTTTTGTCCAGTCTGAGAAGATCAGCGTGCTCCCACGCAATGGCCTGCCAAAGGTTGCAGATTTCAGCACTGCTATTCTGCTCCTCCAAGCAACGGTTCCGGACAGGACAGTTGACTGGGTAAGCCCAGACTAATAGAGCTATACTTTCACTTACACAGCTGCATTTCTGGGGCAACTCCACCAGAGATGGATTTTCATCAGTGTAATACAGAGCAGAGATTTGTCTTCTAGAAAGGAAGGGAAGCTAGCAGCTTCCCTTCTGCACAGGAGGTGTTTCACCTGGGGAGCCATTTTGCTTGAGATGGTTTACACCAGGGTAAACCTACAAGACAGGGAATGCTGGGAACAGGAGAAGTGATACCAGACTGAAGCCTGAGAGCTTAAGGACCCAAGACATGAGCTGACCGGGCATTTACTTTAAGCAGATTCAAGAAATGCAGCTCGGATTTGCTATTTACACCATCCTTGCTGGGGCCAAATACACCTTTCCTGTACACAGCCTGGTAAAAAAGTGAGTTATCTGACAACTTTGGACTCTATGAAACTGAGCATACAATATGAATGTTCTCCCATTCTGCTTTCGTGAACTCCCAGTGTTTTTAGCATAGGAATATTTTTGTACTTACCTACAAACAGTTTCAGTTTGTATAGACCCATTTGAATGATGTGTAGCGCTCTCCGAACACAAACAATCTTAACATAAGGTTACAAGAAGCTTCATAAATTTCTAACAACCGTATTGGAGATTTTCTGGGCAAAATCATGTAAAAATTAGTCTGAATTACATTTCAGAGCTGGACTTTTGAGAGAGTGACTGACATGGCAATTAGGAATAGTATTTCTAAAAAAATTCAGTTGAAAGAACACAACCATTCACATCTGCAAAATACTACTCCAAATCTTTTTCAAATCAGCGATTTAGTCATTGTAACCTACTCGCTGATGCGGTATCTGGAGGCATAATATATCATTGCTTTTAGTCCAGCTTCAAATGAAATGGTCACAAAACATTTCACAGTGTTTTTTGGATACAATCTCAAAGTAGTCTTCCATAATTATTCCAAATAAACGCACTGGAGACTGAATTACCACTGATCCCTAAATCTGGAAGCATAACAGGATTGTACGTACTCTCTAGAATGTCTCTTTCTTGTCCTAAATTAACCCAAATCTGTCTTTTAAATATTGCACCATATCCTGCATTTTCATATAATAAATATTGATTAAAAACTCCCAGGCAACATTTTAAAAGTTCTTGTTTTCATAGCTGCAGAACAGCAATTAATGAAGAAAAGGAATGCAGTTCACTTGAGAACTGCTAAGGTATGTTGCCAAAAAGGACAAGGAAAACATGATGCAGATCAGCAGATAAATCATACTCTAGAAAATTCATACCCTTCACAAATTCCAGTAATTGCTTTTTTGCTGTACCTGTATAACCTGGTGCAGAGAAAAGAAATGTCATTACTTGCAAAGGTAGACATGGAATTAGGCAATGAAAATAACAGCTATAAAACAGATGAGCTGGGCACCAAATGCTCCTCTGTACAGATATGTTCCTATGTTCCCATGGGTCCACATAACTTGCCAGTGTAGACACAGTCCTTCTCTCAGGAGAGGTACTTAGCTTACATGTCTTAAATTAAGTGGAAGAGGAATTGAAAATCTTCTACTCTTCCATGGTCAAAACCTTAAAGCCTGCATGTAAACATTTTTCTTAATTGTCGAACTTTTAGTGTTGGGCTTTGTCGTCATGGTATTCACCTATTCTTAGTTAATCCAGTCTATAGTTCACCTTTTTGTAGTTCACCTGCGGTGAAAAAAGCTCCCATCAAGAAAATCGTAAAAGCCTATGGTATCGCTTCTCTCACATTAAGGACCTATTCACGTAAATAAGGCCTTTTGCTGTTTTTCTGCATGAGCTAAATGCCTCTTGGAGTACATTTTATCACTAGGCTTTTGTGTTTAAGACAAAAAGTTTCTGCTTTCTACTGCATCTAAATCTTGATCTGTATTTCCTGTACTTCAAGTGATGCCTATAGATTGTCAAAAAAGATCTTCTTGTTCTCTTGTGATAGTTCTACTGCACACAAAGCAATCTGGCCAGGCGTTTTACTGTTTTATTCCTCTTTGTAGTCACAGCACATTTCATTTTCCTATCACATGGAAAAAACAGCACGAAAATAGCCGAAACTTCAAAAAAGATATTATTTGCATGTCAGTAATCACTTGCATGCAATGGACCTCTGTATCCAGACGACAAATACCACTTTAGGCTCTAAGTGATCATTATCAGCCAATTTTAGAACTAGAGTAAAAGCGCACTAGGAGCAAAGCCATCACTAAACACTGAAATAGCATAGGACTGTATGCACTGTCCATTATTTACATGATAAAAGAACATATCAGAAGCAACATGTGGAGAGCAATCTCTCCAAGTCTACAGCTCAGCTCAAAGACAAAAGATATTAAAATTTTTCATTAGTTTCAAGATTATTAAAAAATGCTTCCCTCATGCTGCATTTATGAGGAACTCATAGCAAGGTATAATAACCAGCCTGCTGAGCATGCCATAACTTATTAGCCTTACTACCACTATGATAAACACAATTTAATTCATGATTGAAAAAATTAAATCTGTATTTTATTAGGATATTCAAAACTGAATGTCAAAGAGAAAACAATTATAAATACACTCTGGTTCTGGTTACTCCAGGCCACTGTTATGGGAACAAACTTCTATATCAACCACATAACTGAGAGCAAAAACTTTGGGCTTTCTTAGACTCATCAGCTCAGGAATTCACAAACAATTAAGGCACGTGAATTTGAGCAATTAATGTAATTCCTTTTTCCAGAGTCTTGTATTTTTGCACAGTCTTCATTTTTTAGATTATTTGGTTCTCCAGCATTCCAGTTTCTGTAAGTTACAGCCCCTCTATTCACATAATGAACCTGCCTTCAGTCTGTTCATCAGATATCCCCTTATAAGCCTGCTTTGAAGGTCTTATTAAGTCTTCTAAAGCTGTATTCTCAGCCTCATTCCTAGGAGAGGTAACTGCACTTCCAACTTGTGCACAAAGGGATTTTCCATTGTCAAAAGTATCTTCTTTTCCAGTTGAGACAAATATTGTTTTACCAATACTCTTGTTGTTCTTTAAAATCAAAGCTAGAAACAAAAGTGAACATAACTATTTTACCAAAAATTGATCATGCTATAGTTATTTACCCAGATCACAATTGTACTTCAGAAGTAGCTAATACCATCTATAAACAGACTATTTGTTGAAGTAGTAGGCAGAATCCGATAGAAGTCAAACAAAACAGACACCTGGAAATATCAAGCCCACACTTCAAGAAAACTGGAATTTCACAAGAAACTGCATCACAAGTCTTGTTCTAATGTTTTCCATTTCCAGTTCATATAGTATTACAGCTCTTGAATCAGGATCTGAAGGAATTCACACTCAAATTGCAAGCACGACAAAATAGCTTGCCAGGTTTCAATGCAAAAAATCACAGGTCAATTAAAATCATAGAAAGGAACTGAGCTGCAATTAGGAGATCTTCTGTAGCCATCAGCTTTATCACAGAAACCAAAGCTCAGGGACTGTAATGAAATTCAGGGTTTAAAGCAATAGAGCAGAAAGAGGAGACATAGGGACAGCTTTAACGAGCCTGGGAAACCGAGTATTTCTCCAGAAAATATAAATTATCTTAGAAGAAGTAGGAATATATAGCTCACATGTTTGACACGATTTCATGAAAAGCCAATGGAAAGTGAAGCTCTTGTTCATTTAGCAGATAAAACTGCTACCAACAATTCTTTTGAAACACAGTTGCTGTCTTTAATGGGCAAGTTATTTTATCTTATTGCTTTTAACAGGTTTCTGGGATTAGTGGGAAGGGTGTCTACTACCTTATAAGAATGATACAAAAACTAGGACATATGCATAGTTAAATTTTCCAATGCTCTTGTGCTATGCTTCTGTGCCAGGTAAAACCTCCACAATGATTTCAGACACCCTTTTCTACGGTGCTGATACATGAGCACAGGAGGACAAAAGGGAGATGGCTGAAGAGATTACTGCGGCCAGTTGTTCGGCCTCTCCGTGCTCTTCAATTTCTTGCCCCAATTTCAGGTTAACTTTCAGGCTTTATACACAACTATGGCTTCAAAGTTGTGCTTTCTCCAGGGAAGACACCCCCTTGGAAGGATGGCCAGCAGGTGTTGTGGAGCTATATGACTTTATTCGGCTGATGCTTGAAATGTGGTAGATTGCAGCCTGTGTGATTTCCTCCCAAGTTAATTTAAGAACAATGATGGACCTTGTGCTTTTCCTAGTGTGCCATTTGTACCAGGGCTAGTAGTGTGCTGATGAGACATTCTTTCAAAGTTTTCACACAGTATCTCTTGAGAAATTACTTGCAGCCAGACCCAGGCAGACAGCATCCCAATCCATGTCTACTCATAGAAAATTATCTAGAAGTGAGACAGTAAGAAAAATGTAATGCAATGCTTAAAGCACAAGCACCCAGAGAACAATACCTCACCCTGCAGTCCATGCAACAAAGCCCCTGCCCTGTATGTTGGCAAAGTGATCCTTAAAGTTTGGCTGGTCAGTTCAGGAAGGACATATTCAGTGAGACAGCATTTAATTAATGACCATCGCCCATGAGCAACACAAAAGAAATGTGTAATATTTGTTTCAAGCTACTGTTTTCAGTCCCTTGTCCAGAACAAGCATGTCCATCATTTTACCAGGCCAAAAAGAAAACTGATCAATGATTGGACCTTACCTTTTTTGTATCTACTTAGTTCCGCCTCCAAAACTTGTACTTTTGTTTCGAAAGCAGTTACTTGTCTCTGCAGGTCATCGGTTGCTACAACTAGGAGTTAAGGGTGTTATTTAGTAATTTATACTAAAATGACTACACAACAACTGTCTCTGAGATGCTTAGCTCTCCTGTAACCTGATGCCATGTGAGAGAGGTATTTGGTTTCCAGAGCAGAAACCACAGGCCACACTGGAGGTTTGTTCCATGGGAGTTTGTCCTACTGGGAGAACCTTATCCCTGACCGGGATGAATACTTGGGTGGGCTCTGAATTCTCAGGGCTGCCAAAGTCACCTTCTATTCAGAGGGAAAAGCCCAGTTCTCAAAGGCAAACCACAAATGTAAACATTTTTCAATGAATTAAAGTTGAAGTAAAAAACCCATCAACAGGCAAAGAATGAAAGAAAAAATGCTGTTTATAATATGAGATGGAGGGTTTGTTATTTCACTCACAGACAACAATAAACTAGTGACTCATCCCAGACATTCTTTTCTCCCAGTTATGTTGGTCAACTCATCTCCTATGTAACAGATGATTTATCTTTCTGCTCCTCACACTTCTGGAAATCACACCTTTCCTCAAATGATGTTATAAGAATACCAGACATTAACACAATATTTTTGGAAAGTATACTAAAAGGTTGAAAACAAGACTATAGAAACATGAGAAATTTATTTCTTACTTCCATGTTCTCCTTTTTCTCCTTTCTCTCCTTGTGGTCCTAAATCTCCTTTTATTCCCGGAGGTCCCACTTTTCCAGGAAAACCCTGTAGACCTCTCAATCCTTCTCCTAGAGCTTGATTTAAAATAAAATCGTTTAAATGTTTTCTAAGTTCTTCTCCCACTATGTTTTCTTAGTGCTTAGAGAGAGTACCAAACACTGACGACTTTCCCCCCGCCTCCGGAAAATAAAAACATCTCAGGAAAATTGAATCGTTCCTGTGGAAAGCTTCATTTGCTAGGAAATGCATTACTTCGATGAAAAATTCTTTACTACACCTACTTATGACACTGAAAATCCAATTAAATAAATGTTGTCTCATGTTATTGCAGAGGTATACATGCTCTAAACCCAGAAAGCCAATATACTTCAGCTGTAATCCAATCACGCATCACAGTATATGATCTAGAAAATTAGCTAAATCATAAGATTAAGTATACCTCTGAAGCACTTTGTTGAAACAGATAGTGCTGGCTTTACTTATTTCAACCATGAAATTGCAGAGGGCAATACTGAGGGTATGTGGACCAGAAAACGTCTATACAGAATATCAATATATGTCACTGAAATTTTATGTCAAGGTTCATACCGAGTAGTATTGATAATGATGGGAGTTTGCTTGGAGGTTGAAAAGCAATTATTCAATTCCAAGATGTGTGGTATACACACGATAACACAGACAGGATACGGTAAGAAAGTATACGATTCATATGTATTTATTAAGTGTTTGGACAGAAACTATGATTTGACAACTTGGGAGAGCAGGTGACTTGGTTCTACCACACGACAGAAAGCACTTGCTGATCTATTTGCTGTTTGCAGCAGTGCATGAACAAAGCTACCTAACTGACAAATCATGCCTTGGGGGAATTCTGTTGTTGGGACTTAATGAGTATGAAGCAATCAAGTTATGACCATCAGATTAGTAGCGAACTCTAGCAAGCATGATTTCTGGTTTTGAGAGCTGGGCTCTGGAAAAAAAAAAAGCAATAATCATTTAGTAGGCTATCGTAGGAACCTCTGTAAGTGATTCAGAGTACAAATGGTACAATCAGATTAAAATCCCATTACATCTCTGTTTTAAGGGCTGCTGTGAAAATGTATTGTATTTTTTAATTTATTAAAAGCCAAGTATCTAGAGTAGCATTATAAATGCAGAAAGCATTTTCAGCTTCCTGAAATTGTGCAGAGCCTACAAAAGGTTAATGGGGCAGAAGAAAAGGAGAGAAGTAAAAAGGACAAAATCAAAGAATGAAGGAGGCATGAAACAAGACTAAAGGGATGATAAGGAGTGTCAAAAATACAGTATTGCTAAATGGTCATAGCTCTGTACCTGGTTCTCCCTTTTCGCCTTGGGACCATCTCCTCCATCTCTGCCTGGTAAGTCATTGACCGCAGGAGCACTGCACTGCAGGAATAAATTTTCTCTTCAGGTTTATCTGTGTTAACTGAACTTGTTACCATCATTAGTGAAAGCCAAAATACCATGGCATTGAAAGGCAGAAGAAGAGTCATTGCTAAGTCCACAGATCTGTGACAAATCAAGCAGAGTAATTTAATAAATTTCTCCAGTTACATCATTTTAAAGGGTTGCCTAGGAAAGAGTTGCCTACATTGCCTAGGAAATACACTCCCATCTTCAGTCAAAAGACCAAGATCAAGGGATAGTGTCTGAACCATTTCATCTAGCCTCTGATTGTATCTTTATGTATGGAAACCAGAAAAGAAACAACCAAGCTTCTAAGAATCTGAAAATCTCAAGGTGCAACGAAAATATCTAATATAGCAACAGTCATCAATCTCACCGTGCTGCAAATCCGTTTCAATGTTTTGTTCATTGTATGTCTAAATTTAAAGCATTTCTCTTAATGCCAAATGAGTCATACAGTATTCCAGTTTGGGATGAATCCTGAACTCTCCAGCTATTGTGTTTCTGCTGGAACTCTTCTTTCCACAGCTATCAGGATTGCTGCATGTCTAAGCTTAGAGTGATTAAGCTGTTTCTCTTGATAGCATCTCCACTACTAGCAAACACCCATAGCTTAAAAGACAAAAAGCTTAAGTGCATTTAAGTAGTAATGATTTGATTGCCTCCCAATTTCTCCTTTCAGACCTTCTGTATTAATAAGATACATTTCTTCCTCAGTATTACACCTCAGAGCCGAAGTCCTCTTGGATCCCACATCTGCAATACTTTGCTGCCCTCTCTGAGCAGAAGAGCAGTAACAGGCAGTAACATCATAAGGTAAAGCTCTGCATGACATTCTGACAAGTTGACGACAGTAATTGTCCTTGATTTTAATATGAGGCTCAAATTTGAGGCAATCGTGTCCCATGTATTCTGTGTTTAACTCAAAAAACCAAAATTAAAAATTAAACTACCGCAAACATGAACTGACAAAGTTTTACAGTAAATAAGCCACATACTAAAGTCAATTGGCCTTATTTTCTCCCAGTTCTACCAGTCAAAATGAAAAACAAGCCTAAGGAAGCACCATTTGGTTGACAGATTGGGGTAAGGAGAGAAAATCAAATCCAGCGTGAATTTTGCTAGTCACCTCAATTATTTCTCTTTATTTTAAGCTTCAGAAAAGATTACCCACAGAGAGCAGCTTCCCCTGTCATGTTTCATCTGATAAAGCACAATATAAAGTATAATCGCTAGCATATTACTGTGAGAACATTATCATTAGGATAAAAAGCAGAGTTTAAGAAGCACCACTTTTCTATATACTTCTTTGTGCTTCCTCCATTAGGCTCACATCAAAATCTGGGGCAATGGCATACACCAAAATAAAATAAGGAAAAGTATTTAGCTAACTAGTATAACAAAACTAGAATCCTGGTTTATATTTCTTACCCAGCTTCATGGGCTCAAGCCAGTTCTTAACAGCCTTCTAAAGATTTCCTTCTGCTGAATTTTTATACTATGTTAATTATCCAATACCAGGGAAGTTGACATTGCTGCTGCCTCCCATGAAGGCAGCAAGACAAAGCTCAAAATGACGGCACAAAAGAAGAAAACTTGAAAACAAAATGTTAAGCTCTGAGAGAAGTCCGCTCCCTACAGGGATTCAATCTCACACTTTTGTTGTTTTTGCCTGCCAGGAGCCAAGATCTATTTACCTCCAAAGTTTTCCAAGTTGACCATCCCAATCCTTTATTCTAGGAGAGCCAAAGTGCCTGGTTATCTTTGGCAACCTGGTGGCAGGGTTTCCTAGCAATGAAATCACTTCCCAAAGAGACTAATATTTTGCACCAACAATGGTTTAGATAAAAAAGCAAAATGTTCCAAATTTCTCACAAAAATGAAGTCAATCTTAGGGAGCTGAAATAGAAAAAACAGGTTTTGCAGTCCATATTTATATTTAGAGAAGATGGAGAATTCCACATGGAGAATTACACTAAGTGTGGATGTAATGACAGTCCTCAGGTCCTAAAGCTTACACAGTTGCAGACTTTCTCAGCAGAGATCAGAATTAGGCCTTGAAAGATGCCATGAAACTTTTATATTTAGGAGGTAGCTAATTCTGGAGGTTCTATTTAAAGACACAGATCTCAGGTAATTCTTTTGTTCCTCCATAAAAACTGCTTTAGGACATGATTCACCCAATGCAGGTAACAGCAGGGAAGGGATCCTAGAAGAGGCAGCAGGGAATCCTTGTTCCAGACCTAGTCTTGGAAGTGACAGCTCCAAGTCATTAGCCCGAAACCTGAGAGTCTGACAGCACAGGACAGCCCTATTGAAGTCAAGTACTAGGGAAACTGCTCCTTAAAAGCAGATACTGCATTTATACAGAGAATACTCAGGGACAGAATGCTGTTAAACTGATAGATTATATCCTGCTAACAGTCCTCCTCATCAGCTTGCTGTGGTCCAGTAGGGCAGCCTATAAAAGTCCTTTCTAACCATGTCTGCACCTGCAAGGGTTGCACGGCCTCAGTATGGTCAAATACTTATCACAGCAAAAGAGATCTTCACTTAGCAACACCTTTACTTGATCAGTACACAGTGAAACTCTTATCGCACCACTGGCTTCCCTGACAGCCGGCACAACAGAATGTAGTAGAGAAGAAATGGAACAGAAACCTGCTGGATTTTTACCATGAGGACGAGCCTGCCAAGAGAAAAAAAAAAAAATCCCCTACATTTCTACTAAAAGCTCTAACTTTGTGCTTTATTTTGGGAAGAGGTCGCTTACTGGCTTATCTCTGTCTTGCACAATCCTAATGATTGCCTACCTCAATCTTACCACCCCTATTTACAGGTATTGCATATGACATTCTGGGAGTGAGCCCTTTGCCCTTTGCCTGGCCTTGGACAGACCTTGGCTGTGTTACAGTACAAATAAACAACCAAAAAATCAGAACAACTGCAGGCACTGAAAGTTTTGACTGCAAGTTTTTTTCTCCTTTATTCAGTCAATGGATTCATTTTTTAATAACCTAGGAGAGAGAAGGGTATTTGAGGCTTGCTTGACTGCACTGACTGCCTTTCCCGCAATGTACTCTGAATTATCCCTGGAAAAAACTTAGCCAACTCAAACATAGAATCATAGAATCATTAAGGTTGGAAAAGACCTCTGAGATCATCGAATCCAACCGTCAACCCAACACCACCATGCCCACTAAACCATGTCCCTAAGCGCCTCATCTACACGTCTTTTAAATACTTCCAGGGATGGTGACTCAACCACTTCCCTGGGCAGCCTGTTCCAAGGCCTGACCACTCTTTCAGTAAAGAAATTTTTCCTAATGTCCAGTCTAAACTTCCCTTGGTGCAACTTCAAGCCATTTCCTCTCATCCTATTGCTAGTTACTTGGGAGAAGAGACCTAGGTAGGTTTCCTTCGGAGAGGTGCCTGATAACTTTGTGATGTCTGAGGATACCTGAAGACAATCCAGTGGGGCCGGGCCAGAAGGAGCAGAAAGAGGACTTTTGTTCTTCTGGAGTGACACGTAGAGGCCCACTTGGCTATCCCAAGGCAAGTCCAGTGGCCCTAGATGCCTAAATTTTGTCACCTGACTCATTCTCCTGGTGCAACCCAGATTCCTATCTTGTGGATAGGAATGGTTAATAACAATCCTTTTCTTGTTGTGCAGGAAACCAGGTTGTGTTTATACGGCTGAAGAAGTGGAGAAACTTCAGCTCCAACACCTCTGTTGCACTCACTTGTTCCAGTGTTCCCTCATTTCTGTCTTTGTAAACAGGAAAGATGCTTGGTCATGTTCTTTTCCCTGAAAATGGATGACTAAAGATAAGCTACTGTGGTGGACTTCTCCCAGCACAGGCAGTGGCAGTGTCTACCTGTCCTGGTTTGCTTTAAGGTAGGGGTGTGATTCAGAAGAGAATCTCTAAATTATCCTCTCTAACTGTATTATTTCACCCATTTATGTTTAAAAATGGGATGTGAGATTTGGAAAAACAACATGGGGTGAAGGAATATATCTTTAAACTTTCAAGTAAATCACTTACTTCTTGTCTTCCTATAATGCTAGTGATAGTGATTAGAATAAACTTCTTAACAGAGCTTGCACTGTCCAGCTGGCTACGGTACCATTGTATGGACATGAAAAGTACAGTAGCAAGAATAGTGTGTGGGATATTGCCATGGGTAGCTCTGCAAAATTAATAACATAAAATATAATGCTGAGGAAGAGATGTCTTGGGCAATTCTGGTTGCAGAAAATTTCCTTACCCAGAGGAAGGTCTGTTAGACATCTCCAGCTGCAAAAAACAATTCAAACTCCACCCCTGCAGCAGTGTGAGGAGTGATTTTGTTCCCAAGATCCCATTTCTGGGGTTGTTGTTCTCTGATGTGGTGGTATCAGATAGAGATGTTGTAGGCTGTCAGGCTGCCTTTGTATCTTTCCTGTTCAAGAGCTAGAATAAATTTAGTCTCAGTAAAAATAAAATGAAATTAAAACATCAGTTCAGAGCAGTGCTATTTGTGAGCCATGATTTGATAAAAACATTGTAGAGCCAACATCATTAAACAGAGATTTGGGATTCGAGATCTATTTTTTTAAATAGGAAGCTGAAATTTCCACACTGACCTTTGCTATTTTGGCCAAGAACCAAATGTGGTATCTATGTACTGTCAACACATGGCATCCAGGGCTCATCTTTAACCTTGTAACCCACAAAAATGTCTGGTTTGTTGAATGTCTGTTGAACTTCCCTGAAGGTTGCTTGCCTGCAAAAGCAGAAGTATGAAGCAGATAGGATTCTCAGCAATTTCCCCAGCCCTAGGTTCTCGCCAGGTCAGGACACCATCTTGCTGAAACATAGTTTATCATACAGTAGAAATTTTACTAAGCTGTGGCAAACCCAGCATGTTTATATGCAGTATCCAAATGTACAGAACTATTGTAAATACCTGCATCAAGTGACAAATAAAAATCATAAGGGCAGGTGGCTTAGTATTCACAAATTACTAAATGTCTTTCTTCACTGGATTTGTAATTTCATTTTCTATCTCCTTACTTCTATACAGCCTTCCCTTCCTCCAGAAT